TCTAGGTGAAAAACATAGAGAACGGATGAAAGAAATTTGGGACTCGGTGCAAATCATACAACGGGGAGAACTGGGTATCACCTCTGAGGTATTTGTGTGTTAATTCATTCCAGAACAACAGATACCGAGGTTTCCTGTGGTTTCTGAAGAAGGGCAAGAAAGTAACAGATGACTCTATGAATGTTTATGAAAACCAAACATTGTTAGCTCTGTTTTTAGAGTTTCTTTCACATTCATAGATGTGTATCTTACTTGAGTGATGGAAATTCAACTTTTTCTTGCAATAACATAAAAAGACTGTGCAAATGATTCTAACGCCAATCCAAAGGTCTTTTGGCCAACCTTTCCTAGATAAGCTTTTGTTCTTTGACTTACTGTCAGTGAAATATGAGGCGTCATATTATCTGTCTTGCCTGGTGAATAATGAGCAGGATGACAACAAATCAATGTTGCATGTGAACTAACTTGTGAAAAGGCCAGATACAAACACCAAATTACTAATAAAAATACAATAAAGTTCACCACCTAGAAAAGCCTGCCAATTTCTGATTGCTGTAGCAAAACAAAGCATCAGTTTTCTACTGAATTACTATAGAATTCTCCCTACTGCCCCATGGTTGCATTAAAATACATTATATTTATAGCTAAGAATAATTACATTTGGGTACATTTTGCCTAGCTGAGAGAGGCATATCCATGAGAGAGAACATTTACCACTGTTGATATAGTATTGAATTAACCAATTATTTTCTATTTGGGCAGTGACTTGATAACTTTTGATACTTAATATTGTGGAGGGAAAATGGCTCAAGAAAGGCTTAGAAAGAAAACTGATGCTATCTAGATTTCCCTGGTGGCGCGGTGGATAAGAAAGCACCTGCTAGGTCAGGGGACATAGGTTAGATCCCTGGTCCTGGAAGATTCCACCCACAGGCCACAGAGCAACTCGGCCCATGTGCCACAACTACTGAGCCTGCGCTCTGGGGTTAAGCGGTAGCAACTACTGAAGCCCATGCACTTGCAGACCATGTTCCCCAACAAGAGAAGCCACCTCTCGGAGAAGCGTGTGCATTGCCACAAAGAGTAGCCCCCACTTGCTGCAACTAGAGAAAGTCTGTGCAAAGCAAACAAGACCTAGCAGAGCAAAAAAGAGAGAAGGAGAGGAAGAAAGGTGATGCTATCTAAGTTCTTAGAGACAAAATTAAACACTGTAATAAAGCAAGAGACAATCTTCTGAAGATTGTGATTACCCTGGGCTAGATATATTTCCAAAATGTATCCTTCTTTCTCCATCCTTCTGCCATTGCCTTATTTCCTTACCATTTTCATGGTATTTTCTATTCTGCTGCAATATCCCCTACATTCTCTACCTGCCTTGGCCTCATGTCCTCCAATCCACCTTCTATATCCAAAGATCAGGATTCCTGTAAGACACACAAGACTTCACAACTGGCCTCACGTCACTTTCTCAGATTATCGTCTACCCTGTGCATTTGTTTCAAACTCAACAAACCTCATACAAGAGCTACCAACTGCAGAAAGACATAGACAAGCAATTAGAATGCAATGTGAAGAGGATTACAATAGAGAAGCCTACTTAATAATGCAAAATAAAGGAAAGGGAGGTAACCTTAACTAGAATAGGATTGGATTGCAAAGGAGGAGTTGGAGAAATACTAAAGGAAAACTAATGGGACTATTCCTTTTTTCCCCTTCATCTTTTATTTCTACTTTTTGCCTTTGGCTAGGGAACTTTCTCTTTACCTGCACAGAAAATGCTGACATTAGTAACATTTTGTTGTAGCCATTGGTTAGCAATCAATTCTGATGTGGAGACTACTTTATGTTAGGGACTTTTTTGTTGTTTATTTGCTAAGTCATGTCCAACTCTTTTGCGATCCCATGGACTGTACATTGCCAAATTCTTCTGTCTATGGGATTCTCTGCAAGAATATTGGAATGGGTTCCCATTTCCTTCTCCAGGGGGTCTTCTCACACCCGGGGTTGAACCCGAGTCTCCTTCTTGGCAGGCAGATTCTTTACCACTGAGCCGCCAGTGAAGCGCTCATGTTAGGGACTTCTTCTCACTGTCTTTATCCTTTCTGCCTCTGGCTAACAGCCTGGCATCCAACAGCCACCCAACTCTGGGTACTACTATTTGTGATTAAGTGATTCAAGATTCATCTCGAAACTCAGCTTCCATAGGCTTGCCCCAGCCTTCTTTGGCATACATGATTATCCCTTCCTGTATGCAAGTTATTATTTTGCACATGTGCTTAGCTAGGGCTTCCCATACAAAATTGTGTGTGTATGATTTTTGGTTTCCGCCTCCCCCTACTGTGAGTTTCCTGAATCAGGGATCAGATCCTCCTTATTAATTGTGTTTATGTTTCTTTTCTTTCCTATTCCTTCTTGTTTTTTATTTTTAAATTGGTAGAAAACTGCTTTACAATTTTGTGTTGGTTTTTGCCATACAACAATGTGAATCAGTCATAATTATATATGACCCTGTTAGGTCATCACAGAATGCCAGGCTGGGCTCCCTGTGTTATTTAGCAACTTCTCATTAACTATTTCACACATGATAGTGTATACATGTCAGGGCTACTTTCTCAATTCGTCCTACCCTCATCTTCCCCTACTGTGTCCACAAGTGGATTCTCCACTGGGCTCTCAAGTACCATTTTTCTAGATTTCATACATATGCATTAATATACTATATCTGTTCTTCTCTTTCTGACTTACTTCATTTGTATAAGAGGCTTTAGGTTCATCCACCTCACTACAAGTGTTTTTGTTTCTTTCATCTCTTCTGTTTTCCATCCTGGCACTGGGCTTAATAGTTCTTATATATTTGAAAAAAAAAATGTGTGTTGAGTAAGTTCTCTATTATGATATAATAAAACAAAATCTACATAGCAACATAGGAAGTACAATTGCTGAATCCTTGACTGTCAGACATAAAAATGATTAAAAACAGAAAGGTGACTTCTAAAGCTTTTGTTGTTTGTATTTCAAGAAAACTTTAAATATGCATAAGTCAAATCAAGACATATAAAAATTTCCATAAAAGCTCTCCTGTAAATTATTCAATGTTAATATCATGAATAACAGAGTATAAATATAGAAAATATTCAAAAATATTTTTTCAGTATTATAGGATTTTCACATCAGAAAATACAAAACTGTAAATAATATAACAATATATGGACAAAGTCACTCAAATATACTAATTAAGATACCAAATTACTTACAAGTTTTATGTTATCTGAGTTCAAGACTTTATAAATGTTTAACAGCATTACTTTTCTCTCCTCAGTTTATAAGTTCAATTTTATTATTTTATAACTACAGCCTTTAAAATGCATATTTATAAGCCCTGTAAATAATATTTTCTTATGAAATGCACATCTTTGTTCCCTGCTCTCCTGCCCAGGAATTGTGTGACACTAACATAATTTGTTATTGATATATGTTACATAAAATCATGTATAAAGTTTTATTCTTAAAATAGTCAGAGAAAAGGGTATGCTTTTAACTTCCTATTTCAGATATGAACTTTTAAAAACAAGTACAATAAAAATGATATGCTCTTATACGGGAACTGTAATCTCAGGGAAGCAAATGAAGCCTTTTGGAGGGAAAGAGAGATACAGAGAAAAAATATGGAGGTATGATTATGTAAGGGCTTCCCTGGTGGCTCAGTGGTAAAGAATCCACCTGCCGATGCAGGAATGCAGGTTGCATCCCTGAGTCAGAAGATCCCTTGGAGAAGGAAATGTCAACGTACTCCAGGACTCTTGTCTGGGAAGTCCCATGGACAGAGAAGCCTAGTGGGCTACAGTCCACGGGGGCCGCAAAAAACATTTGGACACGACTTAGACTCTAAACAACAACAACAAAGCTTAGGTATATATATATATGCATGTCCATCTATCTGTGTATATAATGTGTATATATATATATATAAAATGTAACTGAAAAAAAGGCTAATGGAATCTTTTTTAGGAAGCAAATGTGATAGAGAAATTTCTAGTTAGGAAAATTAATCTGGAAACCTCAAAGACAACAGTAGTATTAAAAAGAAAAGGAGATGGAGAAAAAATTACAAGCATGTGCACAAGATCTTTAAGTAAAACAAGATAAGAAATAAAACTATTGTTTAAATAAACAGATATTTTAATGTCTAAGTATGTCTAAATAAAGGAACACTTAAAAAAAAACTGCCTCTATTCTATACTTTTAAGTTTCAGTCAAAAGCAATGGTGATCTAGGAACTGCAAGGAAGACAGAGCACTTAGAATTAGTAAGGAGTATCAACACTTTTCTACCTTAAAATCAATTAACACTTAACAGAGGAAAAGAAACTAATGCTTGTGAGATGTCTGGGAAAGAATAAGGAAACTGGTCCCATTTAAAGACCCTTAGAGTAAATTTTCTATCTTAAAAAAGGTTTGTTACAGAGTGTGCATTGACTTGAGCCTCTGTTATTGTTCTGACCCCTAAATTCCCATCAAAGCTGATGATTAAAGTTCTACACACTGGCTAGATCCCTACAATTATCCCATTGTGATGGAGCTCAACAGTGGGCACCCTGCTATGGCCAGACATCAAGTCATTAGAGAAATGCGAGGGATGATGAAGAAGGTTATTTTAATTTCCTTTTCAGCCCTTCTATGGAGTGCCTCTTTAGTTCACAGAGCTCTGGGTTACTTGCTTTCAAACTAACAAGCAATATTATAAATGGAGGCTGCATTATCATGATTGCAGACAATCTAAGGCACTTGATGGCCAAGGATTCGAGGTCCTCAATATGTGCCGTGTTGTATTTATCAGCTAAAAATATATAGATGCAGCAAACAATAGAAGGGGAGGGGGACAAGGAAAGGCTGGCAAGGGGGCAGGGAAAACAGTAAGAGAACACAGCATCAAGACACAAATGCATAAAAGAGACAGCAGTATAGCCCTGGTCATTGTGTTGGTAGATGAAACATTTTTACCCATTTTCTTGCTGTTCCACTGTATAGTGTTCCAGCTCTGTACCCGGAAGAGGCTGGACTGGGGGAGGAGGTAGTGGAACATTGGCCCAGGTCGATCCATTGTTTTTCTGTGGTTTAGAAGAGTTTTTATTTTTCTTCTTTTTTCCACCTTTCCCACCTGAAAGTAATAATATATTTATTCAGACACACCGCATATCAGAAGAAATGGAGTACATCAGATGGGAAGATGTATTTCTGTTTTCAAAACACCAGAATCAGTATGTTACAGTTGTTAAAAGCTATAAACAATGAAATGATATGATCAGGAAAACATTTTTATAAATCACTCAAAATGATATTGTTTCTTTCACAATGCATTAGTTGCAGAGCTGAATACACAAAAAACATGGTTGCAGTGGCAAAAGCACATTTATTGATTTATTCACATTTGCTGCCTCCACGTTTTCATTGTTAGACGAAATAATGGGCCATAACAAATTCTTTAAAATGTCAGATTTTAGTGCATTTATAATGCTCTTTTGCATAATCTGTCTTAGTGGAAAAATGCAGTGTCTAAGGATACAGGCTAAACTTTTCCATTAGAATTTACTCAATTTAATTAATCCAGGAGAGTAACAGTTTTCTCTCAAAAGTAACTTATAAAAATCAATCAACTACAATCTGGAGGATACTTGTAAATCTTTCACAAGGATATGTTTTATAGAATTTTTAACTAATGAATGGCACAATTATTTTTTGCATATAGTGAGTGGTTCACAGATGTCTAACATATCTTAAAATACCAAGTATGGAGAAAAGTAATGGAAATATAGTAATCAATTTCAGTAGTATTATAATACAAATGAATTCATGCACAAAATATGAGCAGAAAGTAACTTGGCAGCATATGAGCCATATCTGGGATTACCAGAGCTTAATGAATTATAAAAATAAAGGTTTTCATTTGTTCAATGAAGTACTTTTTACTGCTCCAAATTAAGTACATCAAGTTTCTTCCTAAATGGACCACAGCTGGATGCAGAAATGTGTACTGCTTGAGCAAAAGATACTTTAGGGGAACGTAGGTAACTTCTGTCATTCCTATGGCAGTCAATGGCTATATTTAAAAAAACAAATGGTATTGACCCCTTGAACTATATCTTTCTGGAAAAAACAGTTATGAGTATCAAATATTCATAGCAGGACTATCTAACAATAGAGATATCACTAGAAATTTGCCTCAACTCCTTTCTTCTATCAATTAACGGGCATCAGCCAATTCAGAAAATTATGGAAATTAACAATAACTTTGAGTGCCAGAAAGTGATGAAAGTGTAAACTAGATATATACCCTATTGCTAAATATGAAATTGTGTCTGTTTTCCAGGCCATGCGTACATATATACACAGAGAAAAGAGCATCCCTGAAAACTAAGTGCTTTCACCCTTCCTCTCACTTTTTATCTTTGGCAGAAAAAGTATTAAGAGAAAGGAGAGCAGGTAACTTCTAGTTCGAGGATAAGAGTTGAATCTCTGGGCTTGAAACTAGTTTCTCATTTACTTGATAGTTACTCAATAGATATCACCTCAATTTCCATACATGTAAAAAAGATATAAAGTTACTACTTGTTTGGGTTATTTTGATTATTATAAGAGGTAACACATATAAAGGTTTCACAATGTACAGAACGTTCAATAAACGGCAGTCATCACCACTCTCTTCCATCTCCTTCACCTCAGCACAAACTCAAGTCTGCTGTTTACAAAGCTATTCCACACCCAACTCCTCCAGTCCCATTGAGGATCCCAGAAATAGTCTGATGCTTAGGATAAAAATAATCAACCTGATTGATTAAAGTTTGTAGTTTTTGTGTTTAAGGTAGGTGAGCCTTAACCCTTTGTTTCCTTGTTATTTGGTGGATAACCCACCAAAGTCATAAACAAAGATTGTATCTTGCTTGGTATTTTTAGAACTATGTCTCACTACTTAGAAGAACAGGATGGGCATGTGTTCTTCGTAGTTTTTCTGTTGTACCTCTTATTCCTTATATATTTATATGTGGACCTTTTTTTTTCACTTTTTATAGCACTTTTAGAACTGTTATATGATCTCCACCAGACCTGAGTGACACAAATAGGGAAATTTTTACATCTGCATTTTATAGATGAGAAAATAGAGGTTCTTTCTACATTTGTGTATATTCATAGTAAGAACAAATAATTTAGAATGTAGCAGCTTTAGTGGACATTACAATTTCTGCAGCTCTGAACTCAGCTTTGTTGAAATTCTTCTCCAAGGTCAAGAAAGCCATTACCACATCTTACTGACAACTGACTTAAAAATGTGCTGGGGAAGCAGAGCTGATTCACAAAGGGAATTTGTGAGGCTCTCCATCCATTGTCCACTTTCCCCTCTGTGGGGGAAATTTCTGCTTTCTCATTGTGGGTACTTTTAGTAAGACTATCGATCAGCATGCTTTGTCTTCTCTAGAAAGAGGTAAGAGGTGGGCGCCGAGTATAATAGTGCCATATGATACAAGCTAAGGAAATTAAATTCTCTGAGATCCATATCTTCAGCTAAGTGAACCCAGTCTGTTGCTGTTACTTGCAACTTAAGATCCTCAAGCATTTTAAGGTTTTGAGAACTGTCTGCATTATGTATTTAGTCATCACATATTTTGATGACTGGCAGACATATTTGATCCATTTCTCTTCAAGTGAAAATGTAAATATTTGAATTTACATTTATTTATGCGGAACAAGTGATTTCTATGTAAAGAAAATTGTGAAAGCAGCTCATTTTCAAATTAAATTTAGTCTTTTAAAAATACTAGTATATAAAAATATTTAGTTATTACTACTGATGCTTGCAGAAGGAAATGGCAACCCACTCCAGTAATCTTGCCTGGAGAATCCCAGGGACCAAGGAGCCTGGCAGGCTACAGTCCATGGGGTTGCAAGAATCAGACACGACTGAGTAACGAGGCACATATGCATTACTGCTGCTGCTGCTGCTAAGTCGCTTCAGACTCTGCGAGCCCATGGACTGTAGCCTGTCAGGCTCCTCAGTCCCTGGGAGTCTCCAGGCAAGAATACTGGAGAGGGTGGCCATTTTCCTCCTCCAGTGGAATCTTCCCGACCCAGGGATCGAAGCTGTGTTTCCTGCAGCTCCCACACTGCAGGCATCTTCTTTACTGCCGAGCCACCGGGAAGCCCTATTACTATTGATATTGTGCTGTATATTTGTGCATATGTATAAAATTATGATTACAGAGATTATTTTGAAAAAAACCTGAGTTTTATAGTTTTAATGGTTGGTCTTTTGAAGAGGAGTGCTAAGAAATTATATATTGAATAAATCATTATATGAATGCTTCAAAGGGTGAGAAATTCACTCAGTTCAGGAATATCCAATTTTGTTTATTACCATGATAATTTTAAACTGGTTTCATTAACACTGTGCACAAATTAAGAAAATCTTATGATTCAATATCCATAGGGCAGTTAGACCTTAAATGTATGCTTTAGAATACATATCAATGATTCTAAGAATAAAAAGAACTCTAATGTTAAATTCAATTTGACAAAACTAAGAAGAGAACAATCACGTCAGTCTTGTCTCTTAAAGAAAGCTTTCTATCACCAATTTAAGTAATTTTGTATTCAAATGTAGATGAAGTAGTTAATATAAATCATAGATATATATATAAATGTCACTCAAGAGATTAATGGATTCAAAAATGTAGTAAGTACTATTGTGAATCATGTTCTGCTTAGAATTACTCAAAAGGTAACTTTTAAGACTCAATGGTAATCAACATATAAGAATATTTAATGATGGTTTCACAAAAGATCTTTTACAATCCATGACTTATAGTACATAGACTTCTAAAATATATATATTGATTGAGACTTGGCATATTTCTAATGATATAAGCCTAGAATAAATTAATTTTTAAATTATTCAATACAATTATAGGACTCATCATAAATAAATGACAGTACAAATGACATTTAAGGTTATTCAAAAAAAATTCTTTTATATTATCAGGCCATTTAAATTTGTAACAGATGCTTAAAATTTTCTGGATTCTATAATATATCCAATTCTACCAATAGGTAAGGAGAGCAAATGGCTCATTTTGGAGAGAAGAGAGAACATTAACATGTTCAGGCTGAAAGGGTTCTATCTCTATGGAAAGATCACTTAACTAACTAAGTAGCTAATGTTACCCTAATGATGTAAAAGAGTTAACAATTTATGGCCTGGATACCTCATAACCTATGACATATCTCAATACACTATAATCTTTCACTCAGTAACTGAGGTTAAAAAACTTCATAAAAACAAATAGACTATCAATAGTATGAAAAAATAAGAAAATAAAGTCATGGTATCAATTAGAAATGAGCAAAGAAAGTCATCAGTCATACACAATGTACAAATCAGAATGTCTACAAGGATCTCCTCATTTTAGAGATGAGGCTCCTTGGGCCTAGAGATCACTGATATTCATTATGATAGGTACATATTTCTTTCCAGTAAAATGTGTTTTCCCTACATGTGCTATTTAATACCTGCATTATGGATTGTTAGTTCAGCTAATGTATCTTGAATATATATTAAAATTTACAGCATAAAAATTACCAATATAAAAGACTGGAGTTTTTTAAGAAATTAAATGTAAAGAATAGTGTCCCATATTAACATTCCTGTTTAGCATGGTATCAGGATCTTACTCTAAATAATATCATCAATAGATAACACAATATTTTGGAAAACTTGTCCAAAAATAGGAAGCCACATCACCAGACTCTTGGTATTATGAACAATTTCCAAAATCATTTGCATTTTAGTTGAATATGGTTTCCATGCGATGGAGCTGATTTTCCTATGTGATCATTTTATTGCAAAGTTCGCTTGACTCTTAAGTAGGGTTCAAAGCAGATCAAACTCATCTGTTCCTTAATAATCAGTATTTAGTAAAATGGCACTATCTTTCAGTAAATACAACCTTGTACAATTCATACATAAAGGCTGATGGTGAATTTTACCCTCCTCCACCCCCAAAACTTGATTTCATTAGGATAAACTTCTACTGTCATTTGAGAGATAAATGTCTGGCAGTGAGTTGTGAGCCAGTACTTCTTCATGAGTGTTAGGAACACAGGTCATATGCTGGTGACAAACAAATATTTCTCCTTACTGTGATGAGACCAACCTGAGAGACTGCCACTCCTCTCTGAGCTGTTGTGAGAGCTGGTGGTGCTGAAATCCTGTGACTGGTTGTGTGGCATTCTATTAGACAATCCCTCAGCCAATCGGTAGTCAGGGATGTAAAGTAAGGCTAAGGGTTAAAGGGCAGAGGTCATAGTGGCATCATGTGATTAGTTCACAGCACAAGCCCATGCAGAACATGCAGTTAGCAATTCAGAAGCAGATGTTGTAGGACAGTGGAGGAATGTTTTGTCTATCCTGCCTAATGGAGGTCGAGATGGATTACTGATCACTATTGAAAAAAGAGCTAAAAGGATGAAACCAATTGGTGTTGTGTGGTGATAGCAACAGTGGTGGTGGTGGCGGGGACTGTGCAAGGTACTGAATACATGCCAGTGTATCTTTATAGTTTAGGTAGTGAACCTGGTGATGAATTACTAAACCGAACAACAAATACTACTTTCTATCTCATGCAAAAATGATATGAAAATAACTCTTCTGGAAGCAAAAACTGGACTTACCGTTGTTACCTTTGTTCTGATCGGGTAGAGAATAACCAAAGCCCATCAGGTCTGTTTTTTGCTGAATTGAGCTTTTCCACTGTGGATCAGGCAGATCGACAGCCAATTCATGTATGCTATTGGAATGCAATATCTGTGTCGTGGCATATGGGGTAGCCTGTGTTATTTGGCTGGAACTATTGTAAGTGGTTTTGGTCGTGAAGTCAATGCTGCTATAAATGGCTCCATCTGAGAGCATTGTTGCCGTTTTATCCCCTTGGCCTGGAACTGGTGGCAGCACATCTGTGGTGAACATAGGGAAATGAAACAATTTAATGATGCACAGGAAGCCCAAAACTATCAGGACTGAAGATGAAAAATAAATGTGTCATGCCGCACGTTTGCATTTCAGCTGAGATGGGCTTCATGAGCCAATGAAGGGTAGATGATGTACAACCGTCGCCAAGCTATCAGCCTTGGTGACAGGCAGGCCCACCAGGCGTCCTTCACGTCTCACTGCTTACCCCACCCCATCCCCCATTTTCTTCAACCATGAATGAGAAATTTGGTGTATTTCACTACTGAAAAAATGCTTTCAGTGGTTCTTTCTGGTTTAGAATCCATGAAATTGTTAGCTCTTTACCGAAGCAATGGCAAAAGTGAATCTACAAATCATGGATGAAAAGCATCTTTTTCCACTTTATCCCAAGAGAAATGGAAAATAACTGCTAAAATAGATGCAAAAGTTTCCAAAATTATACTCTCCAAACTATGAGACGCTTTTTACTGAAGTTTCTACTTGCTGTTTATCTGAGTTGATTTCACAGCTCCAGAAATGGAGTGTAACTGATGGTAGCAATTTTTTTTTTCTTGGATAACAAAGGAAGATTTTCATGAATAAGTCATTTTCACAATACAGCAGGATTTAACTACAGAAAAAGCAATCTGGGTGATCATAGAGTTTAATTTATGCTACCAAATCTTAGAAGTGGAGAATTATAGTTTCAAGTTGTAATACAGCAAGAGTAAAATTAAACTTTAGGAAAAACACTGAATATCAATCAGTCCATTTATCACTTTGGTGTGCTAAATTATCTTTACATGATGTTTTTAAATTCAGAACTGCCACCTCTCTCCTGAGCACTTATTTTCCTTCTCAGAATAAAGACACTAGAATCTAAAAAAACCAAAAACAAAAAAAACTTACTAATACTATTTTTAATCATGTAGAGTTAAAAGCGAATATATATTATGCTACTTAATAATATATGTTCTGAAAGTCACATTTCACAGCACATGAGTTCATCAACCCTCTTGATTTCATTATGGAAAATTTTCAACTAGTTATAGTACTATAATAATAAACCAAATGATCTCAGTAACAAAACCAGCTTATCATCACAAGGAGAAAACTGAAGTAGTCAAAATATCCTAAAGCATTTAGATTCTATGATATCTAACAGTACTTGAAATAAGGATTCTTGTAAAAATATTAATTTTGCTTTTGCATCTTACAAAAGCTAAAAATGATCTTTAGCAACAGCAACAAGACATTTAAAACACATTTTATACACTACAATCACACACTGTAGGTTCTTTCTGAAGGTTGTGAAGTCTGAAATTCCAACCTGTTTTATAATTAAGTATATATGTACTTTTTAAATAACTGTTTTAAATAGTTAAACATATTCATATTTATAATATTTCACCAAGTTGTATAAGTAAGTACACTGTTTTCAGATTCAGAATTTTACAACTACTTTCTAGCCCTTCTTGTTTTTAGCTGTAAACTGATTAGAAAATTTGATGACAAAGAAATATGCTTCATTGTAAAGCATCAGGTCAGTATCATTTTTATTCTCTGAGATGCTTGATATTTAACAATATATCAAAATTGTGAAAGTAGGTCCTTCACTCTAGGGAAGTTTTTTGAGTTTTGCTTCTGCTGCCTCTACCATGTCTTTCACTGGTGAACTGGACAGATACCCTTCTTCAACACTGACCCCAACTTCCCAACATCTTGAATATGAGGTTCTTCAAAGCTTTGGATTTAGATTGTGAGCTACTGCCAAGTGTTTTAAATGGCTGTGTGTTCACATGTTTTAAAATGGAAAAAATATAATATGAAAATCTAATCCTTCATACGCTATGCCAACTAAAGCTATGTGGTTCTAGAAATAGAATCTCTCTCAGCTGGATGAAATTAGTCTTCAATTCTAAGTGCTTCTATATTGATTTGGGGGCTGCATATTTCCTTCAAATGTTATTTGCTCACTCTTACATTTTCAAAAAGTAAATTGAATTATGACCCAACATTAAAATACTAGAGGCTTATACATGACTATTTGCATGTGGGGAATTATCCTATAATATCAGATGATTTGGAACTCTGGGCCAGTCTTCCTCCTAGGATCCTGGACTCGAATAGATGCTGCCATCTTTAGATAGGACTTTTTATTTTACATTCTACACAGTCTACATCTACCCCTTCTTGATACTTTAGGTTATCTGACTGGCATTTGTTAACGTTTGTGTCTGAAACTTATGAATTATAGAAACCCCTCTCTCTAGTCATAACTACTCATGATTTAATTCTTCAGTTTTTCAGCAGCCTAGTTACACATGCATTTATTTCTCATTGCCTGGAATAATTACTTCCATGAATGACTGTCTCCTTCACTGTATCTTAAGTTACTTGAGGACAGAGTACCTGGGATTTATGTCTGTATTTCCATAATTCCTCATCTAGTGTTTTGCAAAGAGTAAGTACTTACTGAATAATTAAAGGGCATTTTAATAGTGTGTATTGTCAAAATGAATACATGTGATTATTAGGACTTGGTTATTCAAAATAGTATTTTCATTACATTTAAACATGTATTAGTAAACATTCTTAAAGGAAAAAATGTCAGTATCCATGGTTATTCCTCTAAGTGTACGTGGTAATACAATCACACATGTGAATCCTACCTTAAGAATTGTAGAGAAGTGTAAATAAAAGAACACAGTCTTTAAAATCTGTTAGATCTGGATTCTACAGATATATCTCAAGTTATTCACCTTGATAAACCTTAGTTTCTTGACCTCTAGGTTAGAAATATGATTATCTATGTCTTATACTTATTACATTTGTTGTGAAAAGGAAATGGAATTTGCAAAATGTCCTGTCTTTTTAGTAAATGCTTAAAATGCTTATCACACTGGAAAGAGATACAGTTAACTCTGCAAAAACTTTGTCACGGCCTTGAGAGTGACCTGTGAAATATTTTCATGTCATGAAAATGAAGTGGAAATGGAAAAAAAAAGAGAAAACCTTGAAAATCTTCAGAAGTATCCTTTGCCTAAATTAGATAAGAGACATTTTAGAATGTTAATGTAATCTGCTAGAAACTGAAAAAAAAAAACAAAACAGTTTCTCCACCTTTGTACATTTATTTCTTGATATAAAGATAGAATGGTGTGTTATTCCAATGCAAATACAAGAAAAGAAAGGCAGCTACTCCTTGATTGATAAAAGCTTTATGAACAGAATTTCACAATCAGTGGGTAGGGCAGGGAGGAATGTTTTGATCTCCTGATGAGACTATGCTTGGGCATAGACCTATCCAAGATAAAGTGACACCTATAATTGCAGAGCTCAGAATTCTGACACCTAGGGGAGGCAGCCACTTTCAGAGTCTGGGCAACTGAAAATCTAAATCGGGTGGACTGAATTACAGAGGGCAAGTAAGATGCTGAGTAGTCATACAACTTACGGGAGGGAGGCCCCCTTTTTCAGTTGGTGCTGACACAATGCAGAGTTGTGCAATAATTAGTCACTTTATTATTTACAATACCGTTTTAAATATGTTTAAGCATGCATTGGTCTTACATTCATAAAGAGAAAAGGCCAATATCCATGACTGTATTCTAAGTCAATATGTTTACACACTCATACATGTGAAATCCACCACTGAGGTTTACAGTAAACCCAGAATACTTAGCATAGTCCTGGGTCTCCTACATTAGTTCTTCCTAGAAGCATATATATATAACCCTTCAGAGGATTCACACAAATTTCTTAGATTACAGCACTATTCTCCTAATTAATCACCCAAATTTTTCAACCTATCTCTGTCCTCCACCCAGCAGCTAGCTGGATGATTTAAAACAGCACTCACATTCTAGGATTCTGATCATTCTCTAACAAAGTTTAAAGTAAATCCATGGCTGATTCATGTCAATGTATGACAAAACCCACTACAATATTGTAAAGTAATTAGCCTCCAACTAGTAAAAATAAATAAGAAAAAAAAAAAAGAAAACAATTGCCCTTAACCAAGTGAAAAAAAAAAAAATAAAGACTTTGTGTGGCTTAGAAGGCCCTCTGTTACCTGTCCTTCCATATTTCTTAGCATTCTTTTGCCTTGCAATCGATACCCAAGTCATTAGGAAATTCACTCATTTCTTAAATAGGTGAATGTTTCCCTTACTTTCTGAACCTAAGACACAGTAAATTTCTTCTCTACATACTTTCTACATACTTTTGACTCCCCACTCTTCCTTCATATATCAGCCTAAATAATACTTTATTCATAGCACCTTCCTGCTCCCAGGAGACAGCTCTTTCATGTGGGGTACTGGCAAGGTACCAGCCCATTTGCTATCTGCACAATCCTACGCCAATGGAAAACTCATGTATCAGCTGAACCAAACACTGGGGCCTGAGACTGCTCCAGTCCCATCTTTCTCTAAACCCACTCTTCTCCTAATGATTGGATGAAAAGGTGGAGAGGGGAAGGTGGTGATTTTCATAGTAAGTCCAATTCTGTTTTCTTTATAAAGACCTATGGAGAGGACCCTAGTACCGAATTTTGAAGACCTCAGCATGTCAGCTACTTAGACTATTTTTGTCTTTTATTTGGGGTACACATTATCAAATTGTAGAATTACATAAAAGCTATCAACATGTTGTTATATTTATTTAAGTGTCTACCTCTTATATGATATTTTTACTGTCTGCCACGGTGCCAGGAACACAGGACACACTCAATAAATATATACTGAATGATAATCAGAGAAGTAAAGTGACTAGTTCTAAATGATAAGCCCTGTTTGGCTGTATAATTCCTGATTTAGTAATCATGTACTGTGCTTAGTCATGTCCCACTCTTTGCAACCCCATGGACTATAACCCACCACGCTTCTCTGTCTATGAAGTTCTCCAGGCAAGAATAATGGAGTGGGTTGCCATTTCCTTCTCCAGGGGATCTTCCCAACCCAAGGACTGAACCCGAGTATCTTGCATCTCCTGCATTGGCAGGCAGATTCTTTACCACTGTGCTACCTGGGAAACCCTTAATCATGTACTAATAGTATGAAGAACAAAAGGCATTATGAATAGTTACCTTCTTGGTTAGTAATAACATCCTTAAAAGCTCAGTTTTACTCAAGATAATAGATACCATAGCTTTATAATAAAATATTTAGCAAATGTACAGTACTATGAATACATGTACTTCACTAAATTCACTTATGAAAGAAAATACTTTTTGGTATGCCTTTTTCAAAACATCCAGGAAAGCCAAGAAAATAAATCACAAACGAGAGAATTTTGAAAAACACAACTTACCCCCACGCCCAAAGTTTGCAATCTCATTTGGGCCACTATTGCTATTGTTTACTGGCAAGCTTGTGGCTGGCCATGAGTCAGCAAGCCATGGATAACTGGGATCACCAGCATTTAGAAGACCTGGGCGGCTAAAACAGGAAAACATGGAAATCAGTCCGTGGAACTCCATGAGCGATGTGCACATCTGTCTCATGAACTACGGTGGATTAAAGAATTTAAGATTTTAATTCACTTTCAAATTAAAATCTGGAGGCTCTCAAGAATTTAGGAACTTTGGCAATTCACTGAGGCTCTGTATAGATCATCCCTGTCAATGGAAGCAGAAGAGTCCGGCCTGGGATTCTGCTGACATCCAAATGAATTCAGTCGTCTCCCCTGAAACTGGTAGGACACTGGTAACATAGAAGCCTCCTGAAACAAGATCTAATGATAAATTGGCATCTCAAGGGAACAATTGCTCAGAATGATTGCTTAGTATCAGCCATTTCCAGGACTTTGGGCTATTGCTCCTTCAATTCCTGCAGCTCCCATATTTATCTGTCCCCTATAGGCTGTAACCCCTGTTATGAGCCCTCATGGTTGATTTAGAGGCAAGGAACTTAAGGGAAATAAATGAAGAGTATTTATACTGTTCCATCAATAGTACATTTTCAGGTTCTCTAAATTTAAAGTGTTAGGAGAATACGAAAGTATTTTAGGGTGATAAAAGATCCACTGTGGTCTGATCCAGTATGTGCATAATCATCTATGAAGAAAACTTCTTTTGCATCATATTCAATAAAGAATCCCTATCTTTAATGTAAAAGTGGGATTCTGATCCCTTTCCAGATTATTACCATATTTACAAAGATATAGCAACATCTATAATCATCGTAGGTTTTTTTTTCCCTGATAGACCCTCGGTGATACAATCCTTAAGAGAAACATGTGTTTCTATGGAAACTGCAAGAAGAAGATCCAACTGCTTTCTGGCTACATCCACCAGCTCTCATTAGACCTAATCTCTTTTTGCTAAAATATTGATTAAATGGGAGATTGGAAGTTATTACCAGAGCCTAATTACAATCTCCATATCGGCAAAGGGAAAATAGATGAGGATATATGGGTTTGTTATCAGTTTTTATCAATTTCAATTGAGTATCCAAAGTTGTGGAATTCAGTCCTATCAATCTACAGCCTATTCATCATCCATGAATCATTTACTTTGTGATCGATTATGTGTAATTGTTCACTCAGCAATTTGGTGAGAACCAATAAGGAGCCTTAAACAAGAGCAACTTCATTTGCTAATGTCTAATTAATGCAACAAACAGCCTGCTAACAAATGAACACATTCCTTGTGATATTTACTACTAATGTCTTCAGGGGCATCTGGGAGATATGAAACATCTGGACTTGATTCCTCTGAAGTGCACAACAGATAGATCATTAAACCTTGTTGTAAGCTGTTTAATTCCTTCTAGAATTCTCAGACTTATAAGTGATCGTTTATTACAATAATTGTCTTTTACTATGTAGTTTCCTCAGTCCTGATTAAAAATAAAAATAAAAAATCTCCTTGGTTTACCTTCCATTGCTCATTAGTCCTCCATCTCCTCTTTGAAATGTAACTGTGAAAAAAAAGAAACACACACAAGTAGTCACTATTAATTACAATTAACAACAACTACATATTGGCCCTTCGTTTAGAGCTGAAGCCCCTGGGAATTATAGCAAAATATAATTAACATAATTGCACAGATAGTAGGAAGCAGTGGTTTGGCCTAAAGCAAAGCCATCATTTGTTCCAACTTCAATAAGACATCTAAAAATTCTTCAGGCCAAACACACGCTTAAGTCAAAGGTGCAATTTTTATTTGTATGTCAGTTGGTACATATATGGTATTGGAAGATGGACATGCATTGACAAAGAATTATCACACCATGATTTTTAATGCTAATATACAGGTGTCCTAATTAGAGGGCATAAGGCAAACTGCACATAATGGAAACTGAAACAGGGAGTTCAAACAGGTAATATCCTTCTAATGAAACCAGGGAAACAGGTACAGATTGAAAACCTATTCCTCTCCATCACAGGTCCTTTTAGGGATACTGAGAAGCACTATGCGTTGAAATACTACAATTACTGTATCATAGACATGAACTGTAGTGAATAGAGAATACCTAATGTATTGAATGCTTTGCTTCATATACGAATCCTTACAAAAATGAGACTTTCAACTTATTGAATATATTCCCATTGTATGTAATGATGATACAACTTAAGTCCTTTTTAAAACTATGGAGCATATTAGCAATGCTGACAAGCATCCAGCAAAGCCTACAGCTGGAGAACCCACTCCCTCTGGTCACTAGATTTCATTCTACAAAGCTAACAACATGAAAGTGGGCGTCAAGGACCGGCAAGGAAGATAAATATCAGTTTCGGTGCATCATCTCTTACCCACAGTCTTTGCAACTAAATTTGTTTGGACTTAAAATGCTTCAGATCTGAGACAGGTGATATGAAGCACACTGCAGAGAAGGTCTGAGCCAGCAACTATATTCAAAGTGATTAGTTTTGCAATGAGATGTGAATATTCACAATTAGTGGAACCAAGTCTATACATGACTTCGTATTATTTTGGGTCAAATTTTGCCACTAAATTACTTAACTAAAAAATCACTGGGAAAAATTTGGTGTTTAGAAGTTTATGGACTGCACAATTGCAATTCTGACCCAAATTAATATGCATCAGCTAAACCAGTTCCTGGGAAGAAGGAAGAAATACCATTTCACAGCTGTGAATTCAACATATCCTATCTTGGAAGACACTGATTAGATTTACTATGATTACTTGGTGAGCAAAAGTGAAAATAACATTTTATGAATTGATTCATATTTGTAATGAACTTGCTACTTAAAGTACACACTTAGTAAATACTTTCTCATTTGAATAATCTCTCCATAATTCACCTGTTTCTTAAGTTTGAGCTAATAAGTATGATAACTCTTTAGGTTTTATAAATTTATAAATGTAGTTCCCCAGTCTCCTCCCTAAGGTTGTCTAAGAATATACCTATTCAGTTCAGTTCAGTTGCTCAGTCATGTCTGACTCTTTGTGACCCCATGGACTGCAGCACATCAGGCTTCCCTGTCCATCACCAACTCCCGGAGCTTACTCAAACTCATGTCCATAGAGTCAGTGATGCCATCCAACCATCTCATCTTCTGTTGTCCCCTTCTGCTCCTACCTGCAATCTTTCCCAGCATTAGAGTCTTTTCTAACTAGTCAGTGATTCCCATCAGGTGGCCAAGGTATTGGAGTTTCAGCTTTAGCATCAGTCCTTCCAATGAATATTCAGGACTGATTTCCTTTAGGATTGATTGGTTGGATCTCCTTGCAGTCCAAGGGATTCTCAAGAGTCTTGTCCAACACCACAGTTCAAAAGCATCCATTCTTTGGTGCTCAGCTTTCCTTATAGTCCAACTCTCACATCCATACATGACTACTGGAAAAATCATAGCACTGACTAGATGAACTTTGTTGGCAAAGTAATGTCTCTGCTTTCTAATATGCTATCTAGGTTGGTCGTAGCTTTTTTCCAAGGAGCAAGCATTTTTTAATTTCATGGCTGCAGTCACCATCTGCAATGATTTTAGAGTCCAAGAAAATAAAGTCAGCCATGGTTGCCACTGTTTCCCATCTATTTGTCATGAGGTGATGGGACCAGATGCTATGATCTTAGTTTTCTGAATGTTGAGTTTTAAGCCAACTTTTCACTCTCCTCTTTCACTTTTATCAAGAGGCTCTTTAGTTTTTCTTCACTTTCTGCCATAAGGGTGGTGTCACCTGCATAACTGAGGGTATTGATATTTCTCCCTAGCAATATTGATTACAGCTTGTGCTTCATCCAGCTCAGCATTTCTCATGATGTACTCTGCATATAAGTTAAATAAGCAGGGTGACAATATACAGCCTTGCCATATTCCTTTCCCAATTTGGAACCAGTCTATTATCCCATGTTCAGTTCTAACTCTTGCTTCTTGTCCTGCTATAGATTTCTCAAGAGGCAGGTTAGGTGGTCTGGTATTCCCATCTCATCTCTTAAAGAATTTTCCACAGTTTGTTGTGATCCACACTGTCAAAGGCTTTGGCATAGTGAACAAAGCAGATGTTTTTCTGGAACTCTCTTGCTTTTTCAATGATCCAATGGTTGTTCACAATTTGATCTCTGGCTCTCTTGCCTTTTCTAAATCCAGCTTGAACATCTTGGAAGTTCACAGTTCACATACTGTTGAAGTGTGGCTTGGAAAATTTTGAGCATTAGTTTGCTAGTGTGTGAGTTGAGTGCAATTGTGTGGTAGTTTGAACATTCTTTGGCATTGCCTTTCTTTGAGATTGGAATGAAAACTGACCTTTTCCAGTCCTGTGGCCACTGCCATATATCCCTATGGCATCATAATTAGGCAATATCATCATCATCTAAGGGTTTATCAGGAATTCATGAGGCTGTACTTTCAGAAACATCTCATTGGCACCTAAAGTACACTGCCTTATGAAGTTTTTAGGTATCTTCTCAAGTGTAATACAAAACAATCCTGACAGAACCTTTGCACCTGCCCAGGACTGGCTATGAAGAAGATAAATATTGATCACTAGTCTGCTTTGTGATGGACTCCCTTAAGTATTGGGAATCAACAATCAGTTGTGTGTCCATACTACGTTGGGTCCCTTTAATAACAGTTTTTAACAACAAAAATAAAAAATTGATCTGAAACAATTATTGAAAAAAAAATCACTGGTGACATTAAATAAAGGTCTGATTAGGTTGGAAAAATACAAAATGTGAAAACAGTGTAGCTAATTAACTTTCCATCTGAGGTGACTTTCTAGTATGTGGTTTTTTAATGGACTATCAAGTGATTGTTGTACTCTGATAAAAGAGGGCTAAGATAATTTTGTGAATATCAGCAGACATGGATGGGCTACACCTTCAAGTGTGTTGTTTAGGGGATATGAGGGGAGAAGCTGAGGAAATCTAATTTGGATGCTCTTTTTTCCTTACCCAAATTTTCTGTTACTGTCAGAGCAAAAAATAATATTAGAAAAAAAGAAGACAACTGAAGCTGAGGACAACTGAACAAAAATTAAGTTACATTTGACTTTATGTACTTAGCAATGTTAAATTTTTCATAAACTGTAAATATTAAAGTACTAAGATGCAACACTCAAAATCTTATCCAAAGATATCATTCAGATGCCAGTCAGCACAAGGAAAGATGATCAGCATCATTAATCATTAGGGAGGTAGAAATCAAAACTACAATAAGATGTTACCTCACACCTGTTAGGTTGGCTTCTACGCAGGAAATATAAAACAAGCATTATTGAGAATATGAAGAGACTGAAAACATTGTGTACTGTTGGTGGAAGGTAAAAACCATTTTACCCTTAGTTGAAAATACCATGTTTGTTACTCAAAAAATGAAAAATAGAATTACAATAAGACCCAGAAATTCCACTTCTTGATATATACTCAAAAGAAATGAAATCAAGATATCAAAGAGCTATTTGTACATCCATGGTCATCGCAGCATTATTCATTGCAGCTAAAATGTGGAAGCAAACCAAACATCCATTGATGCATGAATGGATAAGTGTGTAAATGGATGCAACGGAATATTAATCAGCTTTGAAAAGGAAGGAAATTCTGACATGCTAAAACTTGGATGTACCTTGAGGACTACATGTTAAATGAAATAGGGCAGTCACAAAAAGACAAATACTGCAAAAGTCTATTTATGTACTCTATGGGGTACATAAAGTAGTCAAAATCACAGAGACAGAAAGTAAAATGGTGATGTGAGGGCTGGAAGGAGAGGGAAATGGGGAGTTGTTGTTTACTGGGCAAATGTTTTCAGCTTTAAAAATTGAAAAAGTTTATGGAGATGGATGGTGGTGATGGTGCACAACATCATGAATGTATTTACTGCCTCTGAACAGTACACTTAAAATGGTCAAGATAGCAAATTTCATGTAACGTGTACTGTACCACAATAAAAAGTTGGGGAAAAAACATTCAAACATTCACTGAGGTTTATTTACAGATGTGTTAAGAGTATAGACTCTATGGTATGGTCCATATTTACCAACTGAGAGTTAAATGTTGTGAATGAAAGAATTTTAAATTTCAGAACATTCAAGACACATCCATTTTCTACTTTTATATAAATTAAATAATTTCAAATCTACGAAGAGACTGTTAAAAATAGTTCTTAAAGACATTTATGTTTGTGCCTCTTCATACCAACTATACAGAGGCAAAAATACACAGTCATTATATAAACACATAATTGACTTAAAATGGCCTGTGGACACAACTTGATATGTATGAAAAACTTCAATTTTGTGTGTTTCTTTTTCTTTTAATTTTTTTTTTTTAAATTTTGTGTGTTTCTATCAGGAGAAAACAACAACAACAACAAACTCAATACCCTTATGTAATAAAGTTGAACTGTTGTCTTTTTGAAGCAACGGAAAAAGAGGATACTTTTTCAGATTTCCTTTTCTTCCCATGCTCCAAAACTTTTAGATTTGTTCCATTTTGAAAAGCAGACCAAAAG